TGTTCTTGGAAATATAGAAAGATTATACAAAACATTCAAACTATGTCTTGAAATCCCAGGTGTCTGACAGTAACCACTGGGATAAAGGCTAATCCCATCCCAACAAACCCCAACACATAATCCGGATTCCCGCTTTCATTACATGTGCTTTAGTTTTACCTATGTATGTATGTATGTATGTATGTACTTTATTTTTTGAGACAGGGTCTCTCTCTGTCACCCAGGCTAGAGTGCAGTGGCGCAATCTCAGCTCACTGCAACCTCCACCTCCCGGGTTCAAGTGATTCTCCTGCCTCAGCCTTCTGAGTAGCTGGGATTACAGGGGTACAACACCATGCCCGGCTAATTTTTGTATTTTTAGTAGAGACAAGGTTTCACCATGTTGGCCAGGCTGGTCATGAACTCCTGACCTCAAGTGATCAGCCTGCCTTGGCCTCCCAAAGTGCTGGAATTACAGGTATGAGCCACCGCGCCCGGCCTGCGTTGCATGTGCTTTAAATAAGCAAGCGGTCTGCTGAGATTTGGAGAGCCTTTAACCCGTACAAATACCTTTTGTTGTTAGGGCACTTATTATGAAAACATTTTAAAGATCCAGACATTATTTCATAGGTACTTTATCATTTTGAAATTTGACCTATACAAATGTTGTTTCCAATGAGATTTTTAAAAATAAAAACAGAACTATAATCTCAGACAACAAGGAGGCTGAGACAGGAGGATCACTTGAGCCCATAAGTTTGAGACCAGCCTGGGCAGCAGAGCAATACCCCCATTTCCTCAAAAAATTAAAACTTAGCCGATCATGGTGGCATGCAACTGCAGTCTCACCTACTCAGGAAGCTGAGGGACAAGGATTGCCTGAGCCCAGTAGTTTGAGGCTGCAGTGAGCTATGGTGGCACCACTGCACTCCAGCCTGGGCAACAGAGGGAGACCCTGTTTCTAAAAATAAATAGAGCTCTCACCATGGCAAAGCAAGGCACAGCTACAGCCCCTTTCTCTCTCTCAAAGAAAAGGCCAAACTCAGCCAGGGTCATGCTCTAATTCTGGGCAGTCAAGGCTTTACCTGTAGGTGGTGGTTACTACCCTGGCCCTGAGAGTGGGAGAAACTGCCTGGCTCCCAGTGAAATGGCCCTTTCCTGTCCGCCTTTTCCCTGTGAGGGTTCATAGCATCTCCTCATAGCATAGATTACTTACTATGTGAGGGAAATAGAGGGTCTGCCTGGGTATCGCACAGTACTGTGTAATGCAGTAATGTGATTATCACTGTGTAATGCAGTTTTGCATGGAAAATTAGTTCAGGTTCCCAACGACAAACTGTTGAAATTCAGCCTGTTTTAGTTTGGAGCCTGTGAATGCAGCTTCCTCCTGATGTGCCTCACTTAAATAAATGCTCTCCATACATAATGCCTTGTGTCATTAAGAGCATCAGTCTCCAACCAGACTTCCTGGAGTAAGACCCTGATTCCACCACTTTTTCCGAATGTACCTGGAGTGATTTATCTAATCTCTCTATGCCTCTGTCTTCTGATAGATAAAATGTGTGTAAGAGGCCGCGTGCAGTGGCTCACCCCTGTAATCTTAGCACTTTGAGAGGCTGAGGCAGGTGGATCACCTGGGGTCAGGAGTTCAAGACCAACCTGGCCAACATGGTGAAACCTTGTCTCTGCTAAAAATACAAAAATTAGCCAGACATGGTAGTGCATGCCTGTAATCCTAGCTCCTCAGGAGGCTGAGGCAGGAGAGTCAGTTGAACTCAGGAGGCAGAGGTTTCAGTGAGCCCAGATCACGCCACTGCACTCCAGCCTGGGCAACAGTGTGAGAATCCATCTCAAAAAAAAAAAAAGGATGGGGGATAAGAGTAGTAATTTTGGGTTGGGCACAGTGGCTCCAACCTGTAATCCCAGCATTTTGGGAGGCCCAGGCAGGAGGATCACTTGAGGTCAGGCGTTTGAAACCAACCCAGGCAATATGGCAAAACCCCATTCTACAAAAATGTACAAAAATTAGCAGGGCGTGGTGCTGTGTACCTATAGCATAGACAGTCCCTGATTATACTGTAATAAGACAGTCAGGGACTATCTATACTATAGTAAGGACTGTTCCATATCTTTATTCACAAGCCTTTTAGTCTTGGATGAACTACATAAATGGGCTGAAATTTAGTGTCGTGATTTGTAAAATAGTATGGACAGTCCCTGTCCATACAAGTGAGCCACTGTGCCTGGCCCCCTTTTTTATTTTCTAGGTATATGTTTGTTTACAAAGTTGGGATTGTATTTTTTTACATACACTTTATTATTTTCACTTAGCATAATAGCATGAACATTCTTGCACATAAAAGCCACACCTTTTATTCACGGATTTTCACACCTTTTACAATAAAATAAGTTGATTTCAGGCCGGGCACAGTTGCTCACCCCTGTAATCCCAGCACTTTCGGAGGCCAAGGCGGGCAGATCACCTGAGGTCAGTAGTTTGAGACCAGCCTGGCTAACATGGTGAGACTTCGTCTCTACTAAGAATACAAAAACTAGCCAGGCATGGTGGTGCGTGCCTGTGGTCCCAGCTACTCAGGAGGCTGAGGCAGAAGAATTGCTTGAACCCAGGAAGCGGAGGTTGGAGTGAGCCAAGATGGTGCCGCTGCACTCCAGCCCAGGCAACAGAGCAAGCCTCTGTCTCAAAACATGAAATAAAATAAAAGAAGTTGATTTCAGTAATAGTTTTTCTAAGAATGAAATAAAATAAAAGAAGTTGATTTCGGTAATAATTTTTCCAAGAAAAAGAAAATTTGGGTGAGGGAATATATTAATATATTCTCTGAATCTAATTTGATTCAAATTCTTTGTTTTTTCCTCCCATCTTGCACATTCCAGAAAGTCCTATGAGTTTGAAGATTTACTGCAGTCTTCCTCTGAGAGCAGCAGGGTGGACTGGTACGCGCAGACTAAGCTGGGGCTGACGCGTACTTTATCGGAGGAGAACGTCTATGAAGACATTCTGGGTAAGAGGCCACAGCGTCTGTGTGGGTCTGAATCTGTCCGGGAGAAAGGGGAGGGAGAGTGGGGCTGGCTGCTGGAAATACACATGCGGACCCTCGAAGACACCCGTGCACTCGGATGAGAGAGCAGGCAGGTGGGGTGGGAGAGCGAGCCTCGCGGGATATGTGAGAGACTCTGGGGCTGGAGGGGGAAGACTGGCTGGTGATGCGTGGCCAAGGAGGCAGTGTAGCAGCGTGGCGTAGCAAGAAGCGTGGGGCCTAGAGTCTGAAGATCCAGAACCACGTCTTGGCTCTGCTGCCTATTGGCCGCAGGACTTTGAACGGGTGACTTCACATCTCTGAATGTCAGTTCTCCCATCTGCCTAATGAGAATGAAGCTAGCTCCCTTGCAAGGTTAAGGACTGGAGAGAATGGTATGTCAACTCCCTCGCTTGTGATAGATGCTCAGTCAACTGCAGGGATTACTGAATGAAAGAAAACACTACACACCAGCGCCTCCTTCAGAAACCGTCAGAGTGTGGCACTAACGGCATCAGAACACAGACTAAATGCATGTCTGTGATTTCAAAAGT